GAGAGAAAACATGTTAAATTTATTACTGAAAATTTTTCAGAAGTATAAAATCTATGAAATCAATGGCTTTATGATTGAGCAGCGATGAGATATTTTTTGCACTTAAATGAAGAAACTTTATCAACTTTATATTTTTGTGGAATATTATTGTACAAACTATATATATATTATAACTGAAGGATCGTCGATATAGAGTGGTTCGATGGGGCGGCGGAGAAAGTAACCCTTCAAACCCCAAATTTAGAGTGTGTACATCGCTACGAAATCTTATTTTTTTATACAAATTTGATGGACATTTGTTAATCAATATTTTATGAAAGAGGGTAGCCGTATTTTCCATAGTCAACCAATTGGTTTCCTTAAGTTTATATGAAATTCTGTCATATTTTCTAATACCTTAGAAAACATTAAACATAACATAAAACAAATCAACAAGGGAAACCGCATGGACATTTGGGAAAACTTGAACATCTTTGAATTCAACAGTCATAAATCACTTATCGGGGAACAAGTACAAATCAAAACACGAGATCTCACATTCAATATATTAAACAAAACCATACACATTCCTAGAGAAGATCTAACACGAAGAAGAGTACCTGATGCAGAACAAATACAGGTCAACAGGCGAGAATATCGTCTACATATCTGTACCAAAAATGAATATGTATTTTATCCAGGTCGGAATTTCCTATAGTGGTCTCCAAGCTGTTCATGAATATGTCTGCTAAAACTGGACTGAGGGGTGAGCCCATTGGTGAACCTGAATCCTGTTTATAAAATTTTTTGTTCAACTGTAGGTAGGTCTGATTTAGGCACACATGGAAATATATTGATTCTATCTAAAATGAGGGGATTACACTGCTTGTACGGTAGGTTGGAGACCATACTCCTTACATCGAATGAAACTAAAATTGAATTATATGTGGCGTGGTTAGGTTAAGGAACCAATTTGGTTTGGTCCCACTTGTGAGGTGCGACCAAATTGGTAACATTTTTGAACAACTGGTTAATACGTACTCCTAGTTCTCTTACCGGACTATTTGTATACGAAACTGGCATGTGGCATTCAGACCACATGCTGGGTGTACAATTTGGAGAAATCTAGAGTTTATTAACTCAAGTGTCCGGAGTGTAATAATGTTAACGTGGTACAATTTGGTACAATGAAAGGTCCTTCAGACTAGGAAAAAATGAATCGACGTTTTCAAATCATTCTTTGGCATGCAACCATAAGTTCCCCAATCTAAACGATACGAAAACTTAGCCCTATGCAAGGAAGGGTTACAAACTCAATTATTCAGAATCCTTGGAAATTCAGAAGCATCAACATTGCGGGTACAACCTATTGAATGATCAAATCGATTTAGTTTACTCATCGGTTTTCAAATCAGCATATCCGCATTGTAACTAGTAAACAAAATGCAGGTACTCAATCAAACCAAGTTACTCTATTATTACCTACAGGGGTGCTTCATGAAGGCTAATATGATAAACCATTGTTAGTTTAATGTATGAGTTTGAAAATGTCCTTATAGGACAAAACTGCAGTAACGTTTGTTACAAATAAAAGAGGTAAAAAGTATTGAATGTTTTCAATTATCTTTTCTTTTTTTAACAGACATCATATAATATTTTTTCCCCACGTTTGAAAAGATTTTCATACGTCTGATGATTTGGTAAACAAATGTGCATCATTGTTTTCTTAGTGAGCGATTCAAGCAAATTTTTCAGATGGGTTCGATGATTCAATTATATTCTCGTTACCAAAGTAATAGATCAATATAAATTTTTACTCTTCAAGTAAAGTAGACACTTTGTTCCAAATCTTTTTTCCTGTACTTAATATTCTTCATATTCATGTATTCAATGAACCAACTTTCTACCATATTATTCACTACATCAGCTACACTTAGTGTTCTTTGTTGTCACTTCTCGAGAGAATAAACGTGTTGTCGGAAAATTAAACTGAATTATGAGGCTGAATTTTTTTTTTTAATGAAATCTCTCAGTCAGCTTGAAGGTTCGTCTCCCGTCTTTTGAATCTTTTCCAAATCTTCCATTGTTTTCAATGCAATTTTTTTGTCATTGTGTTTGACATATATGGTCCCATTTTTTGACCAGACTGCCTCTCTGTCATATTGTACTTTAGCTTTAATCATCAACTCCAGGCGTTGCTTGGTAAGTTCTTCAGCTATTGCAGATAATGACAAAAGACATACCACACGGCCAAAAACCCAGGATTCGTCAATAAAACGGATTGGTAGTTTCGTTCGAATTCTGAACGAGTGAACAACTGTGCATCCCTGTGGGTTGTGTACTGCAATATGTTGAGACTTGCATTTATATGATTTGTGTGAACAGCATGATCTTTTTTTTCGTCAATGACTAAGAAAAGAGGGGACAGCAATTACTTGCGTCTCAGTAGTTGCATTACCAAAGCATAACTGAGTTATTTTATTATTCACTATTGTCACTGAATGACTCCAGACATTCCCAGGATAGAATGTTTTTTCAATAAAATCTTATCCACTCGGGTCCGGTTCTGGTTTATGGTGTGAGAACAAGAGTTTGGAAAAAAATTCTATGAAATCAATTTGGAGTAATGATAGCGAAACGTGTTTATTCTGATAGATTACCAAATGCTTTCATCAGTTTATATCACATAAACGCCGTTCTCCCAATAAAAGAGTTCTCAAACAGTGAAGATTGAGGTGTACTGAGTTGAACCTCAAAACGATGAGCAGACACAGTCCGTCGTGTATTTCTGATATGTACCGCTCTTGATGGAATCAAATATGCCAAGTCACTTGAACACTTTCCATGAAAGTATCTATAGAAGAGAGACAAATCTCCAACCTTCCTTCGATCTTCCAAACTACAAAGCTCCATACATGAGAACAATACTCCAAAGAAGGTATGATCTGAGCTTTACAAAGCATCGAAAGTTGCTGAGGTGTGTACAGTTTTCTGGTTCGGAAGAGAGCTTTTGAGAAACAGCCTTTGCAATTCCAGCGACATGATTGTGCCAAGCTGTATTGGTGTCCATTTCAACCCCCAACCTTGACATTATTATATCTAGTTCAGAGACATTTATCTTCTTGGAGAAAACCGATGCCTGGATTTTCGTCGCACTAAATTGAACCTGGTTACTTTTACCCCATTAAGATATTCAACCTTCTGCTGCCGGTGTGGATGTGCATCGGCAGACGATGTTCTGAAATCCAAATGTAATTACGAGACAAGTGTGCTGTCGTCAGCAAAGTAATGTATTGGATTCTTGTTTTCTTACCAATGAGTCGTTGATATACAATAGAAAAAGGGTTGGAGACTCCTGGGGAATACCAGCGCAGATGGTAAAAGTATTCGGGAGATATCCGTCGATGGCCACTTGCAGGGAACGTTTTTTCAGGAAGAAATGAATCGTATTCAATTTGAAAAGTAATTACTCATTTTTCGATTTTCAATATATAAATCTCCCTGGCATATGAACCTCTACCTCCAAATAAAGATATATATTTTATGCGTGTCTGATTCCTTGATCGTTCGGAGATCACAACTCATCGGGAATATCTGGATAATGCATAATTGTTGATGGATGAATACTTTCTTCCATTAAAATTAATAATTTCAATCTTTACTGACTCGTATGGACACCATTAATTTGGAGATTTGGAGTGTGCAGTCAGATGACAATTAACAAATAGGTTAACTAATTTCAATCTGGAAAAAATGTTTTGATATAAAATTCATACCCCTCTGCTAGACATATGGAAATCTTCAGGAAATTTCGATGTTGAAAGATCCGAATTAGTATGTTTGCAACGAATATCACAGATTATAAGAGGTAGCCAGTTGACTGGTGAGTTCCTCTTGTGGAACAACCACTATGGAGAATGCGGGTTCGATTTCTCATCCAGCACTCGATGGATGACTTGCAAAACATGCTCTGATCTTCTCAACCCGAACGTATTGTCTGATCTGTGCTAGAAATCACATAATATTATCTTTCACTAGTTTTTTAACAATATCCATAATGATTAATAGTCAGGAGAAAAAACCATTCCAGTTCATTGATAAGATTATTTTCATCTGTTTTAGCGGGAGGTTATGCTTTATTTGCATTTGGAGTTCTGCAGCCCTTCTTCTGGTTTTTTATAGAATTGTGCAAAAGAAAAAGAAAGGAACGTCTTTACAGTGAGGTAAGTGAATTTTTAATCTCTGAAGTGAGTAATTCTGTAAGGAACTTGCAGAAGTTATCATTATGAACTGATTTACTTCTAGAATATTGGTTTTCAAATCGAAATTTTGAACATCGCAGAGAGCGGTAAAAGCACCTGAAACGTGGCCAAAAATAAATGTTCACTTTTTGACATTTTGTGATATTCTCAATGAAAAAAAAAACAAATCAATAATGAAGATAAAATAAAATATTTTTTTGTATTGAAAAAAGGTTTATTACATAACACATAAAATGAGACGAAAGCAAAGAACAACGTTATTACAAAATGAATAAAACTACAGAAAAATATGGATCTTATAAGCAAAATTAACAGATTTCACTTCAACATAAGTTTTAATGAATATTATTCCCGAGGAAGGCTGCCATCCAATTCAAAAAACTGCTTAGCATCAGCACTAAATGGAAGCTTTGGTTTGTTTTGTTTTTGCCTCATGCTACTAAAATATGGATCCGAAGTAAGCAAAAGTCGATTAAGTATATCTTCGTTGCACTCTCTTCTGGAAAACTTTCTCTGTACCGTCGGAAGTGTTTATTTCGGGCTTCCGCAACTTCTTCCGATATAATTGTCCAATCGGTAACAAGGCATGAGCTATAACGCTTGATGAGTGGACCAATCTTTTGCGTACTGTAGGCGACAGGTTACCAAGAGTATAAATTCATGTACATTTCTTGTGTACTCTTGGCGAAGCTTGAGCATTTTTCTAAGTTTATTTCAAAGCCAGACGACAAAACCTCCAATATTGTTTTGAATCTTTTTAATAACTCCATGTCGATGCCCGTTATTGAAGCTGCTTCTTCAGCTTTCTGGAAGAGTCTTCGTGAAGTGTTACTGTCATTATTGTTACCATACACAACCTTAGGAATATCCACGAGTAATCCCAACTTGTCATTAAAATCTTTTTGAATTTGTTTATTTGCATTTTTGTCGATTGCGCGATCCTTGTAGAGTTTTCCATGTAGTAAAATCTCACCATTGAGCCATTCGTGGTCTTTTCCTGTAAAACGACTTTCTGTACTATTACAAGCAAGCCATTTACGTTCATATACCACTTTAACAGTCCCAACGACTTTTTGAAGTTCATCACTTTTTCCCGGGGGACATTTGGTTATCTCAACCAATCTTTCTTTCAAATCCTGGAGCTTTCTGTCAAGCAGTCACTGTGGACTTACTCTGAAAAGCTCGTGTAGTTTTTTCTTGTCATAGATATAACAGAAGGTCCACAATCTGTAACAATTGATGAAATATCTTTTTAAACCATAATTTTGCGTAAATTTCAACAGAAAAATTCTATGAAATGTGAATACATGTGAATGATTTTGCTTCATGAACTTATTCTAGAAACTTTCAAGTAATACGTTAGTATTATTTTGTTGCAATTAGTTGCACATGTTTAAAATATCCACGATTGCATACGAATGACGAAATTATACTCTATACAAATTATTTTACACTCTATATAAATAAAGCCTATTAAATAAAACGTATGAATCTTAAAATGTAGTACATACCTTGACCAACAGCATCCATATCAATTTTTTCAGCCATATAACACAAATTATAAATTAATAAATAAGCAATCAAATGAGATTTAAGGGGTTATTCAAAGCACATGCTCGGTGAACGAACGCTAGGTTTCAACTGCTCTTATGTGACAAGTAATGGACATACACAGGTAACGATGATCATAAAGGATGACCCATTTATCTATCTATCCTAATTGCTATTATTACCTGTGCCAATTGAAGTTGACAAATTTCATTTATGACCAAGTTTTAGGTGATTTTGCCGCTCTGTGCATTGTTAATTATTTTAATTTATTGTATTTGTTTTAGAATGTTGTAAGATGAAACTGCAGTAACGTTAGTTGCAATTACGAGCGGTACTGAAAAACAAACCGTTCCATTTCTCATTTTTGGAAATGATATTTTTCGGTGAAAAGTGTTGGCTACTCGATTCTCCATTTCATCACTTTTTCCCGGGGGACATTTGGTTATCTCAACCAATCTTTCTTTCAAATCCTGGAGCTTTCTGTCAAGCAGTCACTGTGGACTTACTCTTAAAAGCTCGTGTAGTTTTTTTCTTGTCATAGATATAACAGAAGATCCACAATCGGTAACAATTGATGAAATATCTTTTTAAACTATAATTTTGCGTAAATTTCAACAGAAAAATTTTATGAAATGTGAATACATGTGAATGATTTTGCTTCATGAACTTATTCTAGAAACTTTCAAGTAATACGTAAGTATTATTTTGTTGCAATTAGTTGCACATGTTTGAAATATCCACGATTGCTGACGAATGACGAAATTATACTCTATACAAATTATTTTACACTCTATATTCGAAAATAAAGCCTATTAAATAAAACGTATGAATCTTAAAATGTAGTACATACCTTGACCAACAGCATCCATAGCAATTTTTTCACCCATATAACACAATTTATAAATTAATAAATAAGCAATCAAATGAGATTTAAGGGGTTATTTAAAGCACATGCTCAGTGAACGAACGCTAGGTTTCAACTGCTCTTATGTGACAAGTAATGGACATACACAGGTAACGATGGTCACAAAGGATGACCCATTTATCTATCTATCCTAATTGCCATTATTACCTGTGCCAATTGAAGTTGACAAATTTCTTTTATGACCAAGTTTTAGGTGATTTTGCCGTTCTTTGCATTGTTAATTATTTTAATTTATTGTATTTGTTTTAGAATGTTGTAAGATGAAACTGCAGTAACGTTAGTTGCAATTACGAGCGGTACTGAAAAACAAACCGTTCCATTTCTTATTTTTGGAAATGATATTTTTCGGTGAAAAGTGTTGGATACTCGATTCTCCATCTTTATTCGAAATAATGTGAATATCACTCTGAGAAAAAATTAAGCAATTTCGAGTAGAACGTCAAAACTTTTTTTACCAAAAATCGATATCACCTAAATATAAATCTCCTTTCAAATCAAACAAAACTTTTCAAATTCTCTCAGATAAAAATTCATTTTCATTCATAAACTACCTGCGATATGATGTGAAATGACATCAAAAATCAATATTTGAAACGGTATCATTTTCATCACGCACTAAGTCATCATAAATATCCCCATCAACTATAGATCATTCTCTCATCAAATTTCTAAAATTCTACCTGTACCTGTTTAACTCGTCTCCTATTGGCTGAATTTACCAGTAATCACTCACAAACCATCTATAAAAGCATTACCAGGTACGCAGATAGAGTACGGTGATAGTTATAAATTGAAAATACATGTGCGAGAATTGTTTATTTTTCCGAAAATCCAAGTTCTAGAAGAAATACGCTCCTTTTTCACGCTCTCATCATCTGTTTTACGTTTTTCAAAATGAGTTCACGAAGAGGACCATCGACGACATTCTACGGCCGAGAAAAACAACGCTGCAAGAAAAGACTATATCCGCGTATTTGGACGGCGAGCTCTCTTCAGTGCACGGGATATGTGTCTGAGGTGAACCGCAAACGAGGAATGAGTACCATATCGAGTCTTCATATGGGGTTGACATCACGGAGAATCGAGCAAATATTGACACCCCAGCTCAACACTTTTTCAAATTTCGAGTATTTATTCGTAACATTGCTTCAAAATTATTTGATCACATTCGACGAAATGGCAAGCCTAGGATACACTACTCCGATTGATATAGAACGTTTCTATTCCCAAGTCTATAGGTATTCCACCGAAAAAGTCTCCTCGATTTCCGGTTCTTCAAACTTCACGACAGCCAGCAACAATGAACTCTCGAACTATGATTCTGCAGGATATCTTTGGAGACAGTCAGACCGTTATCACTATTCGAGGATATGCTGTAGGTGCGGTAAGACATTCTACACAACAGCTGATTTCTACATCACAGCTGAAAGATGTTGCTATCATTGGGGCAAACTGCGGCGGTCGGTTCACCCACAAGATCCTACTCGTTGTCAGATGACTCACGAATGCTGTAGAAGGCCGCCAGGTTCGATTGGATGTACCGAAAGTCGCCTTCACGTTTGGAAAGGAACAACCGAAACTTATGACGATTACGTTTTCACGACACCCAGTCGAAATCCCCGTCTATATGGAACTTATGGTGTTTATGCTCTGGACTGCGAAATGTGTTACACAGTGAAAGGCCTCGAAGTAACAAGAGTTACTGTAGTTGACTCGAATGGAAGATGTGTATATGAGTCGTATGTGAAACCTCTTCATGAAATCGTTGACTACAACACACTTTTTTCCGGGATAACGGCCGAAGACATAATTCGAGGTCCTACTAACAGCCTGGCTGACGTGCAGAGGGATTTGATGAGCTTCATAACTGCAGACACCATATTGATTGGTCACGGCTTGGAGAATGATTTACGAGCCTTGAAAATCGTGCACAACAAAATTGTGGATACCGCATTTACGTTCCCCCACTACAGAGGACTACCGTTTCGTAGATCACTGAAAGATTTGATTTCGGAAATCCTCCAAGATGATATACAGTGTAGTTCGAAGGGCCACGATAGTCGTGAGGACGCTACGGCTTGCATGCGGCTCATGTTATGGCGAGTAAGGGTAGAATTTCCAGGTTATCTGTAGTGTTTAAGAACGAAGAAGAAGCGTGCTCATTATGCTTTCGGAAATGGCAACGAGGTGCGAGATGCAATGACAGCATTTATTGTTTTGTAGCGTTATTTTCCAATAAAACCTTTGATCTGTATTGTATTTCTCAAGTCTTCATTCAAATCCTTCAATGGGTCGTACCTACTCACGAAAAATTATATATAGGTGCCCATAGTAATTTCATCGAATTCATCTTGAATTCATGACATTATTTTCTAATGACACTTTCGAACTGGTATGACATTTCTATAAATTGATTGAATTTTGACATAATTTAGTAATAGAACAAAGACAATTTCGGGATTTTCCAAAAAAAAGAATGTGGTAGTGGCATTCTGGCCACATGCTAGTTTAACTTATATCCTTTTCATTATCGAAAATAAAGCGGACGCAATGGAGGAATCTGGAGTTTATAAACTTGAAAATCCGGAGTGTGATAGTGATGCGGGATAATGTAGCTGAAATTTCTCAAAACGGTATACTGAACATGGAAGGTCCTTCAGACTAGTTGAAAATAAATCGACGTTTTCGAAACAATCCTTGGAATACAACGACCGAATCTGAACGATACAAAAACTGCACTGTGCAGGCAAATATTTGGAATCCTTGGGAATTCATAAGCATCATCATTGCGGATGTAACCGTCTACATGACTGAATAGACCTGGTTGGTTTCCAGATTAGCGTACCCACATTGTTACAGGTGAACATTCAGCTAATAAATTCGTCAAGGACCGTCTGTTATTACTTGCAATGGTGTATAGATATGAAAGGGATAAACATTGCACAGAGCAGTAAAAGCACCTAAAACGTGGCCAAAAATAAATTCTCACTTTTTTTAAATTTTGTTGATTGAAATTGACATATTGTGATATTCTTTATAAAAAAAGACAAATCAATAACGAAGATGAAATAAAATATTTCTTCGTATTGAAAAAACGTTTACTGTATAAGACATAAAATAAGACAAAGGCAAAGAATAACATTATTACAAATAAATAAAACTACAAAAAAATATGGATCTCATTAGCGTAGTCAACAAATTTCACTTCAACATAAGTTTTAATGAATATTATTTCCAAGGAAGGCTGCCATCCAATTCAGAAAACTGCTTAGCATCAGCAGTAAATGGATGCTTTGGTTCGTTTTCGCGTCATCCTACTAAGATATGGATCCGAAGTAAGCAAAAGTCGATTAAGTATATCTTCGTTGCACTCTCTTCTGGAAAACTTTCTAAAAAACTCTCTCTGTACTGTCGAAAGTGTTTATTTCGAGCTTCCGCAACTTCTTCCGATAATTGTCCAATCGGTAACAAGGCATGAGCTATAACTCTCGATGAGTGGACCAATATTTTGCGTACTGTAAGACGACAGGTTACCAAGAGTATACATTCATGTACATTTCTGGTGTACTATTGGCGAAGCTAGAACATTTTTTTGAGTTTATTTCAAAGCCAGACGACAAAACCTCCAATATTGATTTGAATCTTTTTAATAATTCCATGTCGATGCCCGTTATTGAAGCTGCTTCTTCAGCTTTCTGAAAGAATCTTCGTGAAGTGTTACCGTAATTAGTGTTGCCATACCCAACCTTAAGAATATCCACGAGTATTCCCAACTTGTCATTAAAATCTTTTTGAATTTGTTCATTTGTATTTTTGTCGGTTACGCGATCCTTGTAGAGTTTGCCATGTAGTAAAATCTCACCATTGAGCCATTCGTGGTCTTTTCCTGTAAAACGACTTTCTGTACTATTACAAGCAAGCCATTTACGTTTATATACCACTTTAAAAGACCCAACGACTTTTTGAAGTTCATCACTTTTTCCCGGGGGACATTTGGTTATCTCAACCAATTTTTCTTCCAAATCCTGGAGCTTTCTGTCAAGCAGTCACTGTGGACTTGCTCTGAAAATTTCGTGTAGAAGGTCCACAATCTGTAACAATTGATAAAATATCACTTAAAACTATAATTTTGCGTAAATTTCAACAGAAAATTTCTATGAAATGTGAATACTTGTGAATGATTTTGCTTCATAAACTTATTCTAGAAATGTTGAAGTGTCATAAAACGTAAGTATTATTTTGTTGCAAATAGTTGCACATGTTAAAAATATCCACGATTGCTGAAGAATGGAGAAAAAGTTTCTTTCGATACAAATGATTTCACACTCTATATTCCAAAATGAAGCCTATTTTATTAGTTATTGAAACACATGCTTAGTGAACAAACGCTAGGTTTCAACTGCTCTCATGTCACAAATAATGGACATACACAGGTAACGATGGTCACAAATGTTAACTCATTTACCTACCTATTCTAATGTCCATTATTACCTGTGTCAATTGAAGTTAACAAATTTCATTAATGGTCAGGTTTAAGATGATTTTACCGCTCTGTGCTTCGTTAATTATAAGGAAAAATGAAAATTTCGAAATTGATCATTTACAGTGAACTATATAAGCACAGTTTACAAAGGTGAAAACAAAGTACAAAGCATAGGAGTAAAAGGTAAAAAACGTCTTTAAGAACATGTCAAAATTTGCATCTTGGAAGGTAAAAAAAAGGAATTATAGTGGCAAGTCCTGGCCAAAATGGGAATAGAAAATTTGAGTGAGACCTCCAGCAACTCTGCTAACCCATGTTGTAGAAGGACAATTTGAATGGGAATATCAAAACACCTCTTCTTCCCACAGATGGCTCTGGAAGCTTGGTGACAATAGCATTGCCATCGATTTCGCATCATAGTGAGGGTAAACGAAAGTGTTTTCTCCGTTTTTTTCACAAATTGCACAATGGGAGTTGGCCCTTCGAATTGAGTAATCTTACCAACGTGGTGTTCGATTGTTTTTTTGGTAGCAAAGCGCACCAAAACCCAGTTTCCTATTTCAACTTTCTTGTCGTTATCTTCATTGATATCATCAGGTAGGGCAGCGAACCATTCTTCGGGATCACTAGGCAGGTAGTTTTCGCTCCGAAGGCTGATGTCACTAATTCTACTCATTTCATCATCCGAGGTTTCAGGAGACGGGGCTTTCTTTTTCTGTTTTTTATTTTTATTTTTCTCTGTTGTTTGCCTCTTTTTCTTTTCCTTCTTCTTCTCCTCTGCTTCTATATCAGCCTCAGCTTCTTCTCAGATTCTTTTCAATGTTCCTTCAGTTGTGACCACTTCAGCCCCGTTTGCTACCTTTTTTTTCTTTTTGGCGTTTGTTTCACACGATCGAGAAGATCTTCAAAACTCTGTTTGCTGCTTGAACTGTGGTTTTCGATAGAAACTAACGATGAATTTTCCACTGAAGTATGTAGGATACTAGGTCCTGACTGTGGCACATGTTGAGTCGAAGTAGAAGGTGTGGGGAGATCTAAAATGTTTTCTCGTAAACTTTGTTGATGGCGGTCCCATCTTTCCAGTGTTTGAGGGTCAAATTTGTTTCTTGGAACTACATCCCGGTTGAAAGGGCTGATGCCACATCCCTCAAATCCACTTTTTATTAAATCGTCTGACAACTGTAACCATCTCTGTCCCAACATGATTGAAAACTCTTTTTTGCTTGGACGAGTTTTTCGTCCCATTTAACTTTGAACGAATGAAATACTGCCTTGTCTAATGGCTGCAGAAAATGTGTAGTGTGGGGAGGAAGTTTGAGAATAATGACATTTTCTTCCAGAGTCTCTTCAATCACTTCAGAACTAACGTGAGTGGAATGCCCATCATAAATTACCAACAGTGGTCTCTCTGACCCTAGTGCAGGTATCAAATGTTTCTTAAAATAATTATTGAATATTTCAGTCGTTATCCAGCCATTGTCACATTGTCAAAGCTAACCATTCATCCCAGATATTTTTTAGCTTTGAATATTATGAGGGGAGGAGCCTTTGAGCCATCTGCGTTACATGCTACCAGTACTGTCGTATTATCTTTCCCCCCCTAGTAATACGGGATGAGGGAGTGTTCTTGGTACCAACAACTTTGGTGCATGAAGGGTCAGAGCAAAATGATGACTCATCTAAATTCCATATCAACTGGGGCTTGTCATACAGTTTATATTGGGTCAAAAGTCCTTCCAACAAGTCAAAATATTCTCACACTACAAACGGATCGGTCATCTTTTTCCTTACATATTCCAGGGGTTCAGGTTTTTTTTTATTGATAACCTATGACGAGCTTAGAAATTAAAGAACCAGTCTTCGCCTGGGCGGTTGTCAGTAAAAGGGGTTTTCATTTTGTTTGACTCAACATACAACTTTACTACTTCCAACACTTCCTTTCTTGACAAACCGAAACCCCATTTTTCCATTGTCTTCAAGCCGAAGCGAGTTTTTCTTCTTCAGCTGCTGGAATCGCAGTCGTTCTACCTCAAACACAACCTTTTTCCTCACCTCTA